GAACAGTTTCACTGACATCAGAAATGAGTTCTCCAAGCACCTAGTGGTCCCCAACATGCAGGTGATGCCCCCTTGGCCACTGGACTCCATCTCAGCAGGATGTCTGTCAGGGAAATGCTCCCTTTGCCTACACTGGGCTGGCAGGTGGGGACCCAGAGTGGCTGAGTCTACCGTCCTGGTTCCATGAGACCCCAGTGATCAGGCGGAAAAGAGAGACCCACTAGTGCCCTTGAGTGTGACCAGACCTGTGAGGAGAGGGGTGCCTGAGGGTCCTTCCCCATGTCATCAGTTCTTGCAGGTTAGGTCACCCCAAACCTCAGTGACTGGAAGGCAGGTCTTGCTCAGGATCCCTATGGAGTCTACAGAGAATGGGGCTGGGACATTTCGGAGGGTTCCCATCACACAGCTGGTAGTTGATGCTGGTAGTTGGGCAGGGTTTCCCCAGCCTGTGGCTGACAAGTATCCCTGAAATGCAGGCAGAAACTGTCATCTTTTCCAGCCTCAGAAGTCCCATGGTGTCACTTCTGCCCATTCTATTCATTGAAATTAAGCCATGAGCCAGCCTGTATTCAGGGGCGAAGAATGACACTCTGCCTGTCCCTAAACCCTGTGGGAAGGTAATCAGGAATTGCTTGAAATCACCACCTAAGCTGTGATATGGAGGAGCAGAAGTGTCTTGGTTGCCCTCAAATGCTACCATTCACTAACTTGAACCCTAACCGAGGGCCCAGCCCCAAACTTTGAGCCACTGTTGGCCAATGAAGGGCATGCTCAGGGGCCTGCAGGAGCATGTGGGTAGGGGTCCAGTGCCTGCAAAGTGGGTGCCCCGTGGACACTGAACACCAGCCCAGGAATGACCTTAGCTTCTGGAAGTTCACCACCTGCGGATGGTGTCCCCTTCCCTGCTGCATGTCCGTGTGTTCTGCATGGCTGTCCCTGTTTGCCTGTAATAAAGTTTTTCCTCCAAAGCCCTCTCCCTGCCCAAGGACTGAGCCTTTCCAGGTAACTGGATGAATCAAGCGTGACTTCCTTAGCAGCAGAAAGCCCCCCCACCAACCCCTACCAAGGGTACTGGGGAGTTTGTGACACCTTGGGTGCAAGCCTGACCTGAGCCAGTCAGTCCTATAAGTAGCAGCAGTTAGCTGACTGAGGGTCCAGGCATTGTATAGCCTGTGGCCTCAGGGGAGGGGGTACTGACCTTCACACAAACTGGCTGGAGGAGGGGTGGGAGGAGAGGTTTTCCTGGAGACCAGGCTCTGGGTATTGGCAGGCAGAAGTGACCCTCCCACCTCTGCACTTGGGGGTAGGCAATGCCCCTTGGCAGGGGGTTGATGGCCTCTACAGGTACAGTCTGGGGCCCACTGAGGGCTGACCATGTGCTACCCCCTTAGACAGGACAGCTGGAGCCCTTGCTGTCGAAGTTCACAGAAGAGGAAGAGCAGCAGATGATGCGGGTGCTGCAGAGGATGGATACTCTGGCCAAGGTTGATGCACATAGGATATATGTGGGTTTGTGTATATTGGGATCCTGTCTTACCTGAGCCCTAGACAAACTTGCTCTTCTACCCTACACCTTTCAGAAGGCCACCGAAGCAGGTGTGCGGCTGATGGTAGATGCTGAGCAGACCTACTTCCAGCCAGCCATCAGCCACCTGACGCTGGAAATGCAGCGCAAGTTCAATGTGGAGAAGCCACTCATCTTCAACACGTACCAGTGCTACCTTAAGGTATGGAGCTTCCCCACCTGCCACCTCCCCACCTGTCTTCAGACGACCGAGACCTGGGGTCAGTGCCTTGGGGTACAGGATTGAGGGTGGTTGGCGCCAGAGGAGAGGTTTCTGCCTTCTGTACCCTGTCACTAGCTGTGTGCTACTCCTTCTCTGTGCATCAGACTACATACAAAGGTTTTGAAAGGGAGGAGGGAGAGGAGGAACTTTGTTAAAGTCCACTTAATCCCCAAATTTCTAAGGCTTCATGAGTGACCATTTTCTCCTGCCCATTTTCGTGTGGATCTGGTGAAAGCACTGAGCTCCTTGATACTAAGTATTTGCCCAGAATTTTGCATGGAACTTAAGAGGACTCCTAACACCAACCTGGGTTAGGCTGCTCAGAGACTAGCCAGGAGTTTGGAGGATGCAGGGTGGGTAGGACTCAAGTCTTCAGGGGAAGGGGGGGAGTGGGGTAGGTGAGAGGGAAGTCCAGGTGATGCACCTAGCATGCAGCCCCCACCTCCAAGTCAGCCTGAAGAGACTGTGGTTGGTGGTATCTAGTCCGTCCCCACACAGAGTGTCTCCACTTCAGAGGAAGCTGTGTCCCCTATCCTTTGGGGATAGACATCAAATGGCCTTTCTTCCCCACACCTCCTTTTGAATTCCCTGAGTGTCACAGGTGGGCAGGGGCACCTCCCTCAGCCAGCTGCTGCTAGCTTCAGGAAGCTCATGGGCCTGTGAAGACCCTGGGACGTGCAGGCTGAAGAGGGCCCTTCCTGGATGACTTTTGGTCCTGATCCCACAGGATGCCTATGACAATGTCACTGTGGACTTGGAGCTGGCTTGCCGCGAGGGCTGGTGTTTTGGGGCCAAGCTGGTGCGGGGTGCATACATGGCCCAGGAACGTGCCCGTGCCACAGAGATTGGCTATGAGGATCCCATCAATCCCACATATGAGGCCACCAACGCCATGTATCACAGGTATTCAAGCCTCCATAGTCCCAGAGCTTCAGGCTTCCTGGGGTGGGGTGTGAGTGATTAGTGTGAGGGTTTTGAACTGGGATCAGAAGCTTCCAGTAGGAGCAAGACTTCTGAGCCAGAGCCTCCCTCTTCACTGCACTCAGCCTTTTTTGCTTTTTTTAATCTACATACTAGGGATTGTTAGCTGAGCTGTCTGCATCTGCTTTTTCCGCTTGTTTATCTTGATGATCTTGCCCTGCAGCATGGACAGGCCAGCCTTGTACTTTTTCTTTCTGATGTTTTACATATTGCAAAATCAAAGAGACCCCGGGTGTCCTCTTGCAGACTCCCCCTCCCTCCCTAGCTGTGCCCTACATTTGCATTGTGCACTCAGACCCCACCCTTGGTCTTTTATATAACGCTGGATTTGGCCATCCCCCCGCCCCCCCCCCCGCCTTGCTCCCCCCTAGCCTGCAGAGCTGAAGTGTTATCCTAATAGAGTGGGGTGCTTGTGTTTATGTGCCCGTCTCTGTGAGGTTCCTGGTGGTTTGCTAATTAATCGTTACATCAGCAACTCATGGCACAGCCTGTCCAATCTTTTGCACCTATGTGCGAGGACGTAGCTGTTGCATGTACCTGGAAATGGAATTGCTGGATCAGAGAACATGTGCCTTGTGTCCTCATTGTCAGTGTGAAACCGTCAAGTTGTCCTCACTGTCAGTTGCTGTCCTGATGATTTTCCTCCAGCACAGGAGGCCCATTCCCCTGGCCTTTCATTTCCTCTGTGGGCCAGACATACATTCCAGGACCCTTTACGGGACACCCAGTCACCAGCGCTTGGGCATTGTCCTTGCTAGTGTCCTGTAGGTGTCCAGCCCTATGTTCACTTATGAGGTGTAGAGAAGGGACAGGTGTTCCTCCCCAGTCCTGTTGCCATGGGCATTACCTGGGCTCCCTTGCAGCCTCTGACCCTGCAGGACAGCCTGTCCAGGCCCAGACCTTAGCTCAAGCAGCATTCTCTCCAGGTGCCTCAACTATGTCCTGGAGGAGGTGAAGCAGAACGCCAAGGCTGAAGTGATGGTGGCCTCCCACAATGAGGACACAGTGCGTTTCACACTGCACAGGTAGGCACTGCCCCCTGCAGGGCTGTCAAGTGCATCTTGGTTAGGGAAGGGCTCAAGGTGGGCTCCGTGGAAATCTTTGCAGAGGGACCTGACAGTGTTTTGCAGAGGGTGTTTTGGGGAGACGGTCTGTGCATGAGTTGGGGATATGGCTTTAGAGCCCCCAGGTCCCCACCTCCCAGACCCAACTGGGATTTATATTAGCACTGCAGGAACAAAATGGCTATTTGTAGTTGCGTTGTTTTTAATTTAAAAGTACATTATTAAGGTTTGAAATTGGAAAAGTAAATTTCACTGGTGATTTAAATAGCTTATTGAAATGTGCAAATGCAGTGTGAAATCATGGAGTCCCTCAGGAGTCCTCTGACATGTCACCTTATTTATAAACAACCTCTCAACATTTTAATCTGTTTCTTTTTAAATGCCTGTCTCATGGAGTAAAACTTGATGGAAACCTATCTAGTCAGATGTAGGAATAAGGTGAAGTATAGTTTTTAGTATTGTCATTGTTATTTCATACCTTAATGCAAGCATTGCTACACCAGGGGTTCCATCTCTCTACCTCCCTTCTTCTCCCCCTCCCAAGGGTTTGACCCTGGGTGGCAGCCTTACTGGCTCATCTTTTCCAGGAACAAAGCAGGGGGTCCCCCGAGCCTGGGGCTGGTGGCCAAGTAGGGCTTCCTGAAGCAACAGTGAAGGTGCAGGTAGGGCAGGGTGTGGCCAGGCTGGGCAGCCCAGTGTACTATGTGGAACTGACTGGCCATTCTAAGCTCATTCACGAATGTCACCATGTAGCCTGACTATGATGGTGCTATCCTTTAAGTCTGTGATTGCTACTGAACACCATGATTTCTGCCACCCAGCAGTTGCAGCTATAATGGGTGGGACCTCGAGTTCCCAGCTGCCTAGGCCAGTGCAGATTGTTGCATCTCGTTCCCCAGTGCTGGATGGTGGGTGGGTGGGGAGCACAGAGTGCGATGGCTGCTGAGCAGCACCCCGCCTAGGCAGGACTACCTGCCTTTGTTCCATTCACCCAAAGGGACTTGCTCATTTTTCCTCTTGGACTCCTCAATCTTGCAGGTCTCAGGGCCAAGGGTACCTTTTGTGTTCAGCAAAGATTAGGCTGGCATCTTTGACATTTAAAAGGAATACACAATAGAATTGTAACTTTTTTTAAAAAAAAAGATTTATTTATTTATTTATACATGCACTGGGTACAGTCAGAAGCGCGGGATGGCGAGAGAATTCACCAGAGCCAGAGCGGGGAGCAGAGCAGGCAGAAGGACTGAAGTACACTGCTGAGGGGAGCGGTGGGCGGCAGGAGAGGTCTGCGCGCCACGCGGGACCCTCCTCCGGTGGCCGGGGAGCAGTCGGGGATCGAACCGGCGCTGCAAGAGGCTGTGGGCAGCTTTGCAACCCAGCGCTCCACCGCTGCGCCACCGGGGAGGCCCTAGAATTGTAACTTTTAACACCAAATTTTTAACATCAAGTTCTTAACACCTCTTTTCCTTAGGTTTAGAAATTTTATTCTGAGTTAGAACCTTCATCTAGGTTTGTTCCTTATTGCACCAGGGTTGTCCATTAGAAGTCGTACACACAGAGCCTCCTATATCCATTTCTTGAAGCTCTAATGAGGGGTGGGGTGGGCGGTGGCAGCTGTGTGGAAGATGGCCGCCTTCTTAGCTTTCAGTAAGCAATTATGAACTCATTAGCCTTTTGTTCACCACTCACATTTTAAGCTGCAATCAAAGGGTAGTTGACTTAAGACACACATTACAGAGAACAAATTTCCAAAGGTCTCATCTGCCATCAGAAGAGCTTCCTTTCTCTCCTGATTTCATAATCTCCCCACTGAGAATGTCTGCCCTCACCATCTAGTTGGGCAGAGGCCCCTCCTTTCTTGGGTGCCAGCTGAATCTCTCCTTCCTCACTGCCTCCAGGGTCTATGCCAGGCTCCCTGAATTCTGCTGTCACTGAGTCACTGACAAGGCTTGTCCCTGCTTCTGATGGCCTTTCTTGGGTCCGCCTGCATCTGTGGTCAGCTGGTGGGCCTGAAATTTCTCATTCATGGCTGGGGCAGCAAAAGGGACTTCGCCATAAGTCTAGTATCTAACGGGTCAGCTCAGGCTTTGTCATGTGGTGGTCTCAGGCTTCCAGAAGCCCTGAGGGAAGGCCTTTGTCCACACCAGTTGTGTTCCCATTGGTCAGTGAGGCCCAGCCCAGGTGCCAGGTAGAAAGAATCTGCACCCACGAGAGCATCCCCTGCACTGCTGCTCAGGCATGGTGGAAACCCAGCACTCATGGGGCTCATGTTCTCATGAGGGACAAAGATGCAAAAACTGAAAACCAGGGCCTCCCTGGTGGCGCAGGCAGTTGAGTGCAGCACTGTGAAGCTGTCTGCAGCCTCTGCAGTGCCGGTTCGATCCCTGCCGGCCTCGGAGCAACCCACATGGCAGACCTCTCCTGTCTCACCCGCTGCTCCCCTCAGCAGTGTATTTCGTCAGTCTGCCTGTTCTGTTCCCCTATCTGTCTCTGGTGAATTCTCTCACCCTCCTGTGCATCTGGCCTGTACCCCAGCTCTTGTATAAATAAATCTTTTTTTTTTTTTTTTTTTTTTGTGGGACCCTCGCCGGAGGCCCGGGGAATGAACGGGTGCTGCAGAGGCTGTAGGCAGCCTCGCAGCCCAGCGCTCAACTGCTGCGCCACCAGGGGAGGCCCCGTAAATAAATCTTTAAAAAAAAAACAAAAAACAACACACAAAAACCCCTGAAAACCAGGGTGACACTGAATCCCAGTACCGAGGGAAGCAGGGGAAGGGCCTGTGGAACAAGCCTCCTATCGGTTGGGGCTCTCGGAGCTGGGGGTTGGGCTTGAAGGTGTGGTGGGAGGGTTGAGAACTTGCCCAGGGTTGGTGCTGGGTGGGTCTGCCTTCTGGGTTAGGGCATCATGAATGGAGCCATGGTCGAAGGGCACCGCTAGTCCCTGGAGGGAAAGCAGGAAGAAAAGGAACCCTAGAGGACTGAGCAAACACAGCAGAAATGGAAAGCTGGCTACCATGGGGCGAGGTGGAAGCAGCAGGGCAGAGGCTATCCTCCCCTATTAGGCAGACAGAGGCTGCAGTGGGTAGATAGAAGTTTGAAGTGGCAGGAGTGGCTCAGAGCCAGCAGAGGGAACCCAGTGCCTTACCTACTCACAGGATGGAGGAGCTAGGCCTGCACCCTGCTGACCGAAAGGTGTACTTTGGACAGCTGCTGGGCATGTGTGATCAGATCAGCTTTCCACTGGGTGAGCAGGGTCTGCCTGGAGGGGGCAAGGGTGGGGTGGAGGTGGTGGTAGGCTGGGAGGGGGAATGTGGGGCCAGAGGGCTGGGACTCACTTCCTCTGCCTGCACGCGCAGGCCAAGCCGGCTTCCCTGTATACAAGTACGTGCCCTATGGCCCAGTGATGGAGGTGCTGCCCTATCTGTCTCGCCGTGCCCTGGAGAACAGTGGAGTCATGAAGGGGGCCTGGCAGGAGCGCCAGCTACTGTGGCAAGAGCTCAAGCGGAGGCTCTGCACAGGCAGTTTCTTCTACCGCCCAGTCTAGTGCCCTCAGGCTACTGACACTACCTACCACCAGGCTCGACCTGCAGATGCCCCTCTGCCCAGGCTGCAGCTTTTCAGGGGTCTCAGGTCAGGACAAGGGCCTGAAAGTGGGGGTTGTAGGAAGCCCCTAGGCTAAAGCCACAACTACAGTTCACCTCAACCTCACAGATTCACTTTTTATATCCAAGACTGTGAGACATGCTCCGCCCCACCTCCCTAACTCTTTTCGGGATGTGGGTAATCAGTTAAGGGCTTAAACTTGCCAGAGCAGAGCTGCTGGAAACTGTACATACCCTGTGTCCAACTCCATACCCTGTGTCCTTGGACCCGAAGCACTGCCTTCCACCAGGGTCTGACTAATGTATCCCAAGCACCAATGTGGACAGTGGCCAGACTGGGGAAGCAGGCTGGTCAATAAATCACTTTTTGCAGCTAAAAGCCCTCCAGTCCATGCTTGCAAAGCTCTTTCCCATGTGAGGAGTGACTGGGATGTCCAGAGCAGTCTCTTAAGTGGGGGTGTGGGGAAGGTGTGTGCAGTTCTGCCACTACTTCCTTGCATTCCAGACCTGACCATGTAGGGTGCTGGACACCTCAACACCCAACTCTGTAAGCTGGGATAAACACAGGGGCCTATGAACTTGGACCACTACACAGGATGCTCTTAGGGGCAAGCACCTTGGGTCTCTTCTTCCTTCAAACACTTCTGCTGTACCTTTCACCCCGGTGACCTACCTCAGGCTCCTACTGTTGTGAGAGGAGCTGCCCCACTCCCATGGCCACATACACATCTGTGCTCTCTCACAGAAAGCACACTGGACATGGTCCTGGGGCTCGGCTGTGCATCCACTGCTGATTTGTCCACAGACCAGGGAGCTATCAAGTGATGCCCTAGCTGGGCCCTTGACAGACACAGAATTGTCACACAAGCCACATGCAGGCCATACTGAGGCATCTTTATTTCTCTGGGTCACACAGGGCTTGGGCCTTGGAGCTTCTCCCACTTGGGGACTGTATATGCCAAGGGAGGAGCTGTGAACACATGCATAAAGTCTCAGGCTTGGCAGGGGCTAGATGTGCCCAACGGAGGGAGAAGGTGCTATAGACCCTTTAGCCTGCAGTCTGGGGGCAGCCAGCCAGAGGCTGGGCCCACTCTCCCCTCTGTCATGCCATCCTAGAATTTGGACAAACCCAGACTAAGATGGGCAGCAGGCACAGCCAGGGTACACCTGGTCTCTCCTCAGTCTGGTGACCTCTCCTACAGGGAGCTGGGAATATGGTGGTCATGGTCAGAAGTCAGGAAGACAAGCTTCTTTTAACTTTTGGCTGCTTATGGCCACAGTGGGACAGTGCTGTCTTCCCAGCCACGATGAGCAGTGGGTGACCAACAGGGAACCCCACCTGGTCACAGGGTTGCCTTCCCCGCCTGGCAGCCCCTCTGCTGCAGCTTTCGGATGAGTTCCAACAGGTTCATCTGCAGTGTCAGCTCCTGAGATGCAGAAAGCTACTGTGAGGATCAGAATGCTACCTGGTCCCCGGGTAGCAGCCAAAACTTCCTTTTCCCAAGGACACACAGGGCCGACTTCCACTGAGGCCACAACCTGCCAGGAGGGGACTGAACCTGGGACTCTACCCTTAAAGCAGGGCCCACAGCTGCCCTTGCTCAGTGCAGAGACATGTATGAAGAAGAGAGCCTGGGGAGGGTGGGCATGCCTCTGTACTGATTCAGCACAGAAACCCTTCCTAAAGCTTTTCTTACATCACCCTCATATCCTGAGCCTGTGTTTTTGTGGGATCAGTCATAAAACCCCAGATGGCACTGGGTATTTGGGGCCCATTGTCACCTATGTCAAGGCATTCTGGGGGCACTGACCTGGGGGTTGGTAGTCACATAGAAGCCAGTGACCCCTGCCTTCTCCAGTGTGCTCTGCTGGTCGGCCACTTTCCTGTCCAGTTCTAGAACAATCTTCTGGTCCATTGCCCGCTGCTCATCATGGATCCGGTGCTCTACTGCCTGTCACCAAGAGACGGTGAGACCAAGAGGGTGTTTGTGAGACTCAGGCCTCCTCCCTAACCCCTCCTCATATATAACTTCCCAGCCAGCCACCTCTTCCAGCCCTCCCCAGCTCCAAGATCACCTATAGCACCATTCTTGCACCCACACGCCACTCCCCTCTGAACTATGTCAAACCCTGCCAAGGGCATCAACTGCCCCACCCAAATTTTCCCCTCCAGGACCTACCAATGTCCTTTGCTGGGTCAGATCTCTCCCAGCTGACAGCTTGGGACCACTATGATCTGGACCAGACACAGGCTTCACCTGTCTGCTGTCAAGTTGGCCACTGTCTTGGGGCTTTTATGATGCCACTACCCACTGGGGCTGCTGACAGACCCCAGCTTTGTGCCTCCTCCCTGCACACCTAGCTTGGGCTCTTTTGACACATCTCTGAGCAACCCCAACACCTGTAGCTTCTTGCTTATAGGTGGGTTTCCCAGCTATCCCTGAGCAGCCTGGGCAAGGATGTGTCCCTGCCGGTTGGCCCTGTCACCTCACTACTGCTCTTATACCCCCAAGCCATGGGCACAATAGTGCCCACTTAGCCTCTACCTAACCTACAAGGAGCCACAGTTGCAAGGAGCAGGTCTTCATTCTACCCATCCTAGAACATCCCAATCCCCTACAACGAAGAGCCACAAGCAAGGACTCAGAGGCCCAGAGCAGCCACCAGCTCTCAGGCCACCCTGCCCATACCCCTACCTCCAGCTCCCGCTGCTGAGCAGCCTGCAGCATGGGCAAGTTGTGGGGCCGGCAGGCCTGCTGGGCTTCCTGGTGCTTCTGCCGCAGCGCCTGCCTGAGCACTGGGAGGGGATGAGACCAGAGAACCCCTCAGCATGCGGTGGGGGCTGGTGAAATCCTCCCACCTCATTGCGTGCCCAGTTTTCCCACCAGAGTGGAGAGGCATAGGCGCAGATGTGTGGGAAGGCCCATCTGAAGACTATAGCCAGTCCTGAGGTCCAAGGGAATACCTAGCACGACAAGCTAGCTCAGTCTTGGCTCTCACCCAGGACAGGGCCCTTCTCCAGCAGCCAGTCTCCAGGGGATTAGGGAAGGCACAGAGTGTGCTGGAAGGAGAGCAGGCTAGCATGGGTGTGGGGTCAGAGCTGCAGCCCAGGCTGAGGAGACCAATTAGGGTGCTGGAGGTACCCGGGCTCAGACGGCCACAGGCCAGCAGTCCTGGGTGTGACCTGCTTTACCATCCATGAGCTATCCACTGAGGTGTGAGGAGACTACCCAGGCAAAGCCCTGGAAAGGAGAGGGATTTCTCTGCCCGATCATGGCATGGTTCTGCAATCACTCCCCGATTGAGACCTGTCCTTCAGAGTGGGCAGAGCCACCCTGCTCCTTCCCCAGCTCCCAGACACATGGCAGCAGGATAGGCACAGATTTTGGAGGGCCAAGGACAGGAGGTGCCAGCAGAGACCTTGTGCTGGGGAATCTCTGTTGCTTTGAGAGGGACTTCCACACCCACTAAGCAGTGGTCCTATGGTCTCTGTTAAAGTGCCAAAACCACGAGCATGTGCAAAACTGTCCAGTCTGATTTGACTGGGCAGAGGAAAAAGATGTTATGGTATGGAAAGATCACAGCCACAACACAGAATACTCAACATTATGCAGCTCAATTCCTGTGGAAAACATCAGCCCTCACTCTGTTCTAAGAAAAGACATTATTGCTTTTCCCAGGAGGGTCCCCCACCAGGAGTTTGGTACCTGCTGAGCCCACGGCCTTTACCAGGCTCCTGTTTCTTGGAAATTCTGTGCATACCTTGACAATTATCACATTAAATGAGTTTGAAACCAAAAGCCACCCTTGAGACATCTCCACAGGAACAAAGACACACCATGGAGGCAGGATTCAAGGAAAGAAATGTCATCTCTTGAGCTCAGTTTTGGTTTATCAAACATTGCTACAAATCCCAGATCAACTCCCAGATTCTACTGGGGGAGCAACCAGAGGTAGGAAGAGAACTGCATTACCCTTATGCCTGTAGTCATGACCTGCAAATCAGAGCAGAGGAGAAGCAGGAAAACAACACAGGGCACTGGGGGCACCAAAACCTGCTATAACCTTCCAAAGGACAAGTATCAAAGTATCTAGAGTTATTAAAAAAAAAAAATTCCCACTGATTTCCCTGCCCCAAAGCTCCTAAAAATGGAGCTTTCATATGATCCAGCAATCCCACTCCTAGGAATCTACCCAAAGGACATAAAAACATTAATTCAAAAGGACACCTGCACCCCTATGTTTATTGCAGCACTATTTACAATAGGTAAGCTATGAAAACAACCCAAATGCCCCCAAAATAGATGACTGGATCAAGAAGATCTGGTATATATACACAATGGAGTATTACTCAGCAAGCCAAAAAGATAAACTCATGTCATTTGCAGGAACATGGAGCATGAGCTCAGTGAAATAAGCCAGAAGGAAAAAGAAAAATATCAGATGGTTTCACTTACAGGAGGAATGTAGAGGATCCAAATAAGGGATCAGGGGGAAAAAAGGTAATTATAATAAAGTAAAAATCAAAATCAACAGGCAACTATAAGCCAGAGACATTCTGCAAGGGGGGGAGAAGGGAGCAGTATCAAAACAGGGGAGGGAGGACCATGGTGAAGGGACCATGGTGAAGGTTCACGAGTGAACGGGTGGTGGGAATTTCATGGGGACTATAACCGAGATGAAAATGCATACATTGTACAAAAATGAAAAATGATGGGAAAACTATATAAAATAATCAAAACAAAACACCTCCACACTGAAAGAAACCAGGGCCCTGCAGAGAAATGGCTAGTTTCCCCTTAAAAAAAATTATTATGAATGCTTTTATTTGTTCCCCAGGCTACTAACCTCTGTGGCTATAGATTACCAAAAGGTGAGTAAGTGCTGCTTATTGACAGCAAGAATCAGTGGCATTATCACACTGCTGGCATTTGGCAGATTCAAATAAACAGCAAGGCAGAGAAGTTGGAAAGCCTTAAAGAGAGGCAATGTGGAAAGCTCATCTTGATGGGAGGTTGATGGTGTGAGAAAGTTGGAGGCAGGGAAAGAACAAGAAAAGATGAGCCTGACAGCCTCTTCTACCAGAAAGGAGAGACGCATCCTTAAAGAAAGAAAGGAACATATCAAAAGGACAACAGCAGCCAGCCTGGAGTTCTTACCCTGGTTAAATGTGGCACAATCGAAGCATTAAAAAAGAGTCAAAAACTATGTACACTGATTTGTGACCTTATGCATTTTATACGTCGATAAAAATGTTTACAAAGGCAACCACCCAAACATTTAGGGAAGAAGTAATATCAGTTCTACAAACTAATCTGGAAAACTGATGAGGAAAAAATACTTGCCAACTCATCCTGTGAGGTCAGCATTACCCTGATACCCAAACCCTGCAAAGACCTCAAAGGAAAACTACAGACTGATGCCTATCATGAATACAGAGGCAAAGATTAAGATTTTAGCAAATAAATTACAATGTATATAAAATGGATAATACATACCAAGTACAATTGATCCCAGGAATGCAGTTTATACCAGGAATTAAAGAATGTATTCGTATTCACCTTAGTAACAGAAAAGCCAGATGACCATCTTAATAGACACAGAAAAGGGATTTGACAAAACCCAACATTGATGCCTGGTAGAAACATATTCATCCTGAAGCAGATAGACATTGCCCTCTTGGGAAGGGACCTTACATCGATAAGATAAAATTTCGGCTACAAATGTTTAACCTGCATAATCATCAGGCTGTTCAGTTTATAGGAAAGAGGTTGGATAGATTAAATTACAGCACGAGGAAGCAATTCAACAGACAATGGGGACATGCTATAGGTAGAAACCTCTGGACTCTTCAAAAACAGAGATCAAAATAACCAGTTATAACCCATGCATGCACACTGCATTCTTATAAAGTATTAGATAATTTGAGACAAGTTAGGTAATGTGACCACGGATTGACAGTCACAAGACACCCTGGAAAGGTTAATTGCTCAGGAGGCTATCCACTGCGATTATGCAGGTGGTTGTTCTAGAGCACTGATTCTCAATCCTGGGCCATGGGTGACTGGAGAGATTTTCCCTTGTCATAACTGGGGGCGGTGTTCCCTATCTAGTATATAGAAACCAGAGATGCGCTAAACATCATACAATGCACATGAACGCTAATCTAGTCACAGATATTAACAGTGTGGTGGGTGAAAACCCTGGTAAAATACTGGAAACTTGAAAAGCCCTGTAGTGTGGTGTATATTTAAGAATATAAAGAACTTTGGCAAAATGTTAACTATTGAACCTAGGAGATTCAATAGAATTTTTAAAATAAGGATTTGTGGGAACCAAAAAATTAACAAAGGTGGGGCAGGGAGATCTGCCTAGCATACCTGCAGGAATATGCTCCGGAGTGGAGACCCTTGGGAGGTGGCCAACGAAACTTTGGCTGGGAGTGTGGCTCACATGGGAAAGTTTTCAGGTCCTGTGCACACAGTGTGTGGGCTGTCCATGCACTGCTGGTGTGGGGCTCTGTGTAGCCAGAGAGGGAACTGAACATAAAGGGCAATGCAGGGTTGACAACACTCTGGGGCATCACAGGTTAACCAAGCACTACACCACCAGAATCTTCTGTGGGATTACCAAGCACAGAGGCCTTGGGCCATCCTGCCTCAGTGGCGTGCAAGCACACGGGAGCCCAAGCATGGTGTTATGCTAAAGGGAACTGTGCAACAAACAAAACCGGCCAGACCCATTTGTCATCAAAATAGCGCCACCGAACGACTCTCGGCGTCCTTATCTGTTCAATTTAAAGGGTTTCTTTCGAGCGACGACTAGGGAAAAGCACAACCGGCACCGAGGCCTTTGACTCCCCGGGGAAGGGGTTTGCGTCCCGCCGGCCCCGCGCACCTCGGTGATCGTTCTGCAGACGGAGACGCTGGTTGTACAGGCTCTTCTCGGTGAGGTGCTGGATCTCCAGTAGTCCTTGCACGATCTCGAACACGGTGCCGTCGAGGAGTGCCAGGGCCAGGTCGCTGAGCGTGGTGTAAGACAGGCGTTGCTGGAAGGAGCTGCAGACAGAGGCGTGAGGTGAGCGCCTAAGCTGGACCAGGGTGGCCTCAGTCGCTCGCCCCACCCCGCGGCCGCACACCTGGGCAGCTCTTTGACCAGGCTCTGCAGCGCTGACAGCAGCTGGTAGTGCCGCTCCTGCTGCCGAGCCCCGTCCACCGCCTCCTCGAAAGCACCTGCGTAGCGCTCCATGGCGCCCGCGCCCCCCACCTCCAGACGCCGGCTGAGGCGACGCGCACTCCCATACGTCAGTCCAGAGCGCTGCGCATCGGCCCCCTTTTACGACAGTTCCTAGAGCAGTGCGGCCCCTTTTACGACAGTTCCGGGCACGGTGCGACTTGGCCTCTGCGGCCTTGAGAGCGAGTTTCACTTCCCTGCTCCACTGACGGGCCTGAGCGGGTACCCTGTCGTCCAACCACTACCCTGCCTCCCGGCCTACGCTGCCGAGGAGCCATAACTACGCAGTTTCAAGGTCGCGAGATTTCGAGCGAGCCCGTCACACGGGCGCAGATTGGGCGCGGCCTGGCGGAGCCGCGGCGGTGCGTAGTAGGGCGCCTGCGTCGCCTGAGGGGTACCTGAGGCAGCTGCTGTGTCTGCCTGGACGCTGGCCGCCCAACTCGTTGAAGTTACCGAGCCACGAACTCCGTCAGTGCAAGTGGCGGCATCTTGAGGCTGTTACCTTTGGCCATCAGTTTTGTCTTGCAATTGTGGGACGTTTGTTAAGTCTCCCAGTCGCGCAAGCGCCCCTCCTCCGTCCCCTGCGGCGTTTGGGAGCTGCCAAGGCTGTAGTCCAGGCGCGGCTCTTCCCTGGGAAGGCCTGATGCCCTGAAAGGGAGCTGCTAAGAAAAAGAAATCTTTCCCTGTTAAAGAGTCATAGACCTGGAAATGTAAGGTAAATAATAAGTTTACTTCCATAATAAGCATATCTAAACAAGGTCTGGCAGCTGGCCATCCTGAAAGATCTGTATCCTTCCCCTTTTCCTGTGTGAAGAATTTGTATGCTAACTAACCAACTTTATCAATGTAAAGTGGTTGTGTATAAAAGAAACTCTTTGGCTCTAGACCAGTGCTCAGACCTTATGGGACTACCCAGGTGTGAGACCTCATGCATGAGAAATAAAGCTTTCCTGACCTCACCGTTCCTAAAGTACAGCTTGTTCTTCCCCTGCCTGGGTAAAAGGCTAGAATTTATTTCTGTAACATTTTTTGGTTTCCTGACTGGGAAACAAGAAGCGCACTGGCCCTTTGAGCCACCGGGTCTGGAGGACGCGGAGTGAAGGATGGGAAAGAGAGCCAAGGAAGGGGAAGCGCCCTCCGCTGAGGACTTTGGGGGTCTCTGACTTGGTTGCTCCTGCGCAGACCCCACGTCGCCTTCCAGGCGGAACTTCAAAAGGGCTGAGTGAGGCATCCAACTTGGTGCCGACTTCGGATCAGGTAAGGTCCCGGGATCCTGGTTCCCATTTGGCCTATCCAGAGTGGTAGAAGGAGAGACTAATCACCTCTCAGGGAGGTCTCAGTGGTCTCATTTGGTTTTGGTAGGGTACCTTGGAACTCCCAGAAAGGGAGGGATGGTATGGTTATAACCTTCAGTGTGTGTATGTGTGAGAGAGTGGTGTGTGTGCGGAGATAAATTGGGCTTTGCCTGTGGTTCTGTCGATAAGTCATATGGCTGATTGTGAGACACAGGGCAAGCTAGAAATTAGGCAGTTTTAGGGACAGTGCAGGAGGGGACCTCTGAAGAAGCCCAGAGGTGAGAGACTCCCCCGTTTACTGTTTATATGGACAAGCCTCGGGTGACCCTAAAAGTGGCAGACATAAAGATCACCTTTTTGGTAAATAAGGGGCCACTTACTCTGCCTTACTCCAATTCTTTGGACTGACCCACTGGTCAATTGTCCCCCTCACTAGTACAATTGGCCAGCCTGAGCCAGGACACTTTACAGCACTCCTACCTTGCTCACTACGAGGCTACTTGTTTATACATTTTTAGTTTTGTTTTCCTAACTTCCTCTATTAGGATGAAGAAAATTGTAACTAAATTCCAAACTAGCAGCCTCCACAGCCACTATTGGCTCTCCTAGCTGCTGCTGCAAAAGATAAAAATGGCACTAAAGCCCTAGTTCTCACTGATTCTGTCATTTTGGCTACAGCACCTCCAGGTGTTTGGGGCACTAGCCCAACATTGCTCCTTAAAATCCCTAGTCTCAGTGGTAATATAAAATCGAGGAACCCTGGACCTGCTTCAGGCTGAAGTAGGGGGAGTTTGTGCCCTCTTAAATGAAACATGTTGCTTTTGGATAAATACTTCTCATGATGTAGAAGAAAATTTAGAAATACTAAAGAGAAATATACGGACTGTGGATGATCTCAAAAGACAGGCAGGACAAGGGCTTAGCTGGACACAGACAATCTTTGATTCTATAAAAGGACAACTTCTGTCCTGGCTACTCCCTTTTCTCGTTCCCTTACTAATTCTCTTTATTGTTCTTTTGTTTGGGCCCTGCATCCTTAACGCTCTCGTCAGAATCATCTCCGCTCGCCTGGAGGCCATCAAGCTCCAAATGGTCCTTCAAATGGAACCCAAAATGAAGCCTCCACTGTCCTTCTTTCAAGGTCCTTAGAGCGTCGCCCTGCTGTGGAGCCCTGACTGTCTCCCCACGTCGCCCACTTTCAGCAGGAAGCAGTCACTGATCAGACCGACGTCCTTTGTGCTAACAGCAGTTAGGTGCTCCACTGTAAAGGGAGGAATGAGACACAGGGCAAGCTAGAAATTAGGCAGTTTTAGGGACAGTGCAGGAGGGGACCTCTGAAGAATTTAGGGAGGCTTCAGAGATAAGGACAACCAAGGGAAAGTAACCAATTCCACTAGGAAAAACAAACATCTGAGGACCAAGGACAACATTGTTAATGCTGGTCCTGGTTTCCTTCAGGTGGTAAAGGGAGGCAGAGATTGGAGAAATGGAGAGTGGTTTAATTTACGGACAACTTAGAAGGGCAGCTGTTTAACTTCAATGCAGTCGTGCCCATCCAGAAGACTGGGCCATAAAGATAAAGATGCAACAAATGGGGAAAGAGAAAGCTGTTAGATAAGGAATGTGAAGATCCCCCACTCAGTAGCAAATTAAGTGAGACAGCCGAGAACTAACCAATCACAAAGAGTCTGGTGGAGTTTTAGAATAATGAGGGAAAAAAGGTATATATTCCCTGAGACACAACTCCACTTTGGCAATTGTATGGGGAATATAACCAAATGAAAATGCATACATTGTGCGAAGATGAAAAATGATGTAAGAATTATATAAAATAAAATGTAAAAAAAGAAAGTAAAAAAATGACGTCTTAACGAATAAAAGAGTTAGTTAAAAAAAAAAAAAGAAAACAGCCCTGTTGAGTGAACTTCCCAGCCTCACATACCTGGGAGTGGATCACAGAGAAGTGTGTGTTCAACTTTCTAAGAAACTGCCAAGCTGTTTTCCAGAGCGGCTGTCTCTGCTATTTCAAGTTCTTCACAGTGAAGTGTGTTCCAGTTGTTTCCCATCCTCGCTAGCACCTGACTTGGCCAGACTTTTATTTTAGCATTTATGATAGAATGAGTAGTGTAGAAGCAGCTCACTATGGTTTGTTTGCAAGTCCCTCATGACTGCTCCTATTGAATATCATTTCTTATGCTTATTTACTATCACTGTCTAATATTTATGAAATGGATACTTTTATACATGGAAAGGTCTTATTTGGTGATATATCTGTTCAACTCTTATCCTCATTTCCCCCCACTTGGGCTGTTGGTTTCTAACTTGAGTTTTGCAAGTTCCTTATGCATCTGGATACAGCCTTTTCCTCCATGTGATTTGCAAATACTTCCTTCCAGTCTGATACTTGTTTGTTTTTTCATCCTCTTAAAAGGCTCTTTGCAGGGCCTCCCCGGTGGCGCAGCGGTTGAGCGCTGGTTCGATCCCCGGCTGCTCCCCGGCCACTGGAGGAGGGTCCCACATGGCGCGCAGACCTCTCCTGCCGCCCGCTGCTCCCCTCAGCAGTGTACCTCGGTCCTTCTGCCTGCTCTGCTCCCCGCTCTGGCTCTGGTGAATTCTCTCACCCTCCCGCGCTTCTGACTGTACCCAGTGCATGTGCAAACGAACAAATAAATAAATAAATAAAATACATGCCTCTTAAAAAAAAAATAAAAAAAAAAAAAATAAAAGGCTCTTTGCAGAGCAAAAGCTTTTCTTTTTGATGAATTCATGCTTATATCTTTTTTTTCTCTGGACCATGCTTTTGGAATTCTTTGCCTCAGAGCAAAAATATTTACTCCTAGTTTTTCCTTCTAAAAATATTATGGTTTTATATTTAGATCCATGACCTCTTTTGAGTTTTCACCTGAAGTGTAAAATTAATACCAGATTTTTTTTTTTGGCCTATGAATGTCCAATTTCCAGCACCATTTCTTGAGACGATAACCCTTTCTCCATAGCATCTTTGTCAAGACTCAACTGCACATATTTCTGTAGGGCTGATTCTAATTTCCTAATCTGGTTTTGGTTTTGTTTTATTATTGTTGTTGTTTTTCATTTGTTTGTCAGTGCCACATCATACTGTCTGAATCACTGTAACATTACAGTAAGTCTTAAATCAGGCGGTGTGGTTCCTTCAAATTGGTGTTTCTTTTTAAGTTATTTTGACTGTTCTAGTTCCTTTGGTTTTTCATACACATTTTTTAATTAGATAGTCTGTGTCTACAAAAAAATCCTGTTGACATTTTTTGTTGAAATTGATATAGTGACAACAGGACAGAAGTCTCTTCCTGCCCCAACAGATGGGCATCCCTACCTCTTGCATTTAACAAGTTTGTTTGTTTAACAAGCTTGTCTTTCTACATTCTAAAGAAAAGAAGGAACATCCCTAAGAAGATAATATGGAAGTTAAACACCAGGGGGTTAACAAAGCAGAGCTGGTGCCAACCTTTGCCAATCTCCCCAGATACCCAGAGGCCTGCATGAAAGGTCGTGCCTACCCTTGCTCATTTCTGTTTTTTTTTTACTCCTTTGTATAAATACCTCTGCCCTCTGTCAAAGAACAGGACAGTGGTCTTTCAGACACGATTCTGCTCCTCTCAGTTTGTCGATAAATTAAACTACTTTCCTTCTCTTAAAACTCTGTTTCCTTTTATTGGCTGAGGGAAACTGAGGCTGGTGTTTGGTATCAAAATTGCATTAAGTCTATGGGTCCATTTGTCAAAATTTTAAATCTTATCAATGTTGACTATTTACCTTTCCTTTTACTTAGGATCTCTTTCATTTATTACATCTGTGTGTAGTGGTTTTCAACATACAGATCCTGTCCCTTCTTTGTTAAAGTATAATATTTTACTTCATATAGAACTATTTTAAATGGTATTTTTCTATTCTTTTTTGTTTAAAGATTTAT